AGATTTACATCTGTACACAAGAGATAAATATTTAACTCACACACACAGTAGGCAGATTAGGAGGTAGTTCGGGATTCACATCTGTACACAAGAGAAAAATATTTAACTCACACACACAGTTGGCAGATTAGGAGGTACTTCGGATTCACATCTGTACACAAGAGAAAAATATTTAACTCACACACACACAGTTGGCAGATTAGGAAGTACTTCGGGATTCACATCTGTACACAAGAGAAAAATATTTAACTCACACACACACAGTAGGCAGATTAGGAAGTACTTCGGGATTCACATCTGTACACAAGAGAAAAATATTTAACTCACACACACAGTTGGCAGATTAGGAAGTACTTCGGGATTCACATCTGTACACAAGAGAAAAATATTTAACTCACACACACAGTTGAATGTTTCAGATTTCTTAACGAAGAGTTAGAGTTGGTAATAAAACACATCTAAAGAAAATCTTAGATATAAAATGTTCCTATAAAGTTAGAATCTCAGTAGTTAAAAATGTTCTACTGGTTATAAACTAGAATCCAGTAATAAATCAATCAATTATTTGAAATCAAACTTACTTTACAATGCTAACCCTCATTTTAAGTCTATCAATATTATTTAACAAAGGTTTTATAAATGACAATGTAGTGATTGCTTCATTAAAATAAGCACAAAATATAATCTTTAGGGCTAATGTTCATCTTATATCTGTCAATACTAAAAATATGTAAATAAAGAAAAGTTAGTACAGTACAATTTTCCCTACTTTACTCACAACAATCTTCAAAATCTTGTTACTACTATCAAAGATCTAGTTTTATAAAGCATAACTTACATCATTTTTAAAACTAATAAAATATATCAACTTTAACTTGACACAATTAAAAATAAGACATCAAAATATATTATTTGTTTCAATTTAACTCTTCTATGTATATGAAACTTTAACTAGACACAACATTTTTTGACTTTTGCAGTAACCAACCTTAAATATACAACACAATTCCCCACTCTCGATAATGTAGGTCTAGCTGTACAACGCAATTCCCCACTCTCAATAATGTAGGTCTAGCTGTACGACACAATTCCCCACTCTCAATAATGTAGGTCTAGCTGTACAACACAATTCCCCACTCTCAATAATGTAGGTCTAGCTGTACAACACAATTCCCCACTCTCAATAATGTAGGTCTAGCTGTACGACACAATTCCCCACTCTCAATAATGTAGGTCTAGCTGTACAACACAATAATGTAGGTCTAGCTGTACGACACAATTCCCCACTCTCAATAATGTAGGT